TGAGACGGCTTGTTGAATGAGATGGTACATGAAATTGTCATGAAAACTACAATTATAATTTGAATGAAGAGATTTATGTAAAAATGTGAATTTAGAATTTTTCTACAGACTTCTAAATGTGGAAAGTTAAAAAGAGGTGTTTTATGTGTTTCCCTTTAAGCACAAGAATTTGATATTGAACCTTACTTGAACCTTTTCAATTTTATTATTTAGAAAACTCTGAGAAAGGAACCACACTCAAGGTTGTTTGCAACAATCTTATAAGGAATACACTTTAAGAATATTTATATGTACTGTAAAACCATTTATTTTCACTGACATTTAATTTCACTATTTTGATGTTTTGAGTATATTCACTGTGTTTTTATAATTTCATGGATTTATCAAGGAAATGAGTTTTATTGTTACTTTACATATTCACTTGGATTTAATTTAGTGGTTTTTGCAAAAATAAATAAAATTAAAACCCAGTGAATACATTTACAGTACTTCATAAATAGGTGATTTTCTGTTCAACTGCGAGATCTCGCGAGATGCATGAAAGACCCGCGTCACCACAAAAATTGAATGATTTGATTTTGAACTTGAATTACTTCAGTTCGTAACTCACATTGACCGGCCGATCTTCGACAGAGGAATATTGCTTTTGAATACCATCACTTAATCGAAATTGTCTATCATCAAATGTGTACAGCACATTATTAAGCAGGGAAATGCTCCCAAAATATTTTTTGTGTTTGTTGAATCCCACGCGATGTTTGATGCCACTATGACCCTTGTTTGTCCTGTTTTTACGTTCAATTTCACACATAACTCATGATTCTCGCAGTGAACGGAAAATGGTCTATTGTTAAATGTTGTTGACAATTTTTTCCACATAGACACTGTCACAGATAAAGAAACTGGTGAATCTCAATATATGAATATAACTGAAGCAAAGAAGGCTCCTGATGTGGTGAAACCTGACAAACCTATAAAGCCAACAAAAGTGCCAACTTCTGAACCTGCAGCCAAGCCAAGGAGTCTCCCTCCAAAGCCAAAACCTAAAGCCAAGCCAATACATAACTCGCAATACACAATTCAAGTTAAAGATTTGGCTGATTATGTTATTAAGAAACGAGAAGAAAATGATTTTGTTTCACAATTTAAGGTATGTTACTTATAGTTTTAATAGATGCTTAATATGTATGTGCTTACATAGTATGTTTTATAATTGGATCAATGCTTATTAGTATTATCATTTTTGCTGTATAGGGCCATATGTCTGTACCAAGGTTTGTGATTTTCATTTTATTTTAAAATGCTGAAATAGTTTATCAATGCAATAAATAAAAATTTAAATGTTATATTATTAGTAAAATTTTACACATGTTGAGGTAGACATACATGTACATAGTTTGTATTGTGAAATGTAGGAACAGCTACTGGAAACGGCTTTGTATGAGATTTTTATTTTTTTATTTCCAGTTGTTGCCTCAAAGCGCTAATACAAATATACCTCATGAAGCTGCTAAAATTCCAGAAAACAAATCAAAGAACAGATTTCGCAATGTTCTTTCATGTGAGTGTGTATAATTATTACATGAAAATATTACTGATATCGTATTATTTTAACCAGTGTTCTTCTTATATATCATATTTTGTGGTGTCGCCAAAACAAAAAAAATCAAAAAACTGTATATGGGTGATGTGGTAAAAAAGACATTCACCCCATACATTTCGTATAATTTTTTTTAATGACTGGAGAATTGATATTTGGTATAATTAACTCAACCTTTCACAAACTTAATCAACTATATAGTATATAAATTCATTCTTTGTTTTAAAATGATCTGTCAAGCATTATAAGCATATGATTTTTTTAGATTTCTTATAGTGCTGCTCGTGCAGCATATTG